TGGAGGCCACAACTTTTTAGCAGCCCTAGGGGGAATTCTGGGGGGGGGGGGGAGCTCACATACTCCTCCACCGACATTAGTTGATTTTTTGACGTACTATATATCTCCTGTAATTCCAGATTAACCATGATAAACATTTCCTGTGGAATAATAATGTTTTTGTGTACCTTTATTTTGACTGCCAGATGTCTGCATTCTGATTTTCAAGTAGTATTAATGTGGTAAGAATTAGGCAAGTAAATTTCTAGGCTAGGATTTTTTTTAATTCAGGATTTTTATTTCCTACAGGTCGAACGGCACAGAGAACACCTCATTAACTACATAATATTTTTGAGAATAACGCCTTTCCTTCCTAATTGGTTTATCAATATAACCTCTCCTGTAATAAACGTGCCATTGAAAGTATTTTTCATTGGTACTTTCCTTGGTAAGAATTCTGATTAATATTCAAAACTTCCAAGAATGTAAATTCAGTTTTACATTTTGCATGATTCCTTAGTATATAGCCCCATCTGTTGGACAGTTGTAGAAAAATGTAGTCACTTCCATGTTCTGTTTTGTGCGTGTTCATAATTGGCTTGTTCTGTGTCTGCACATGATTCTGTATGATGTATGAGTACATTCCATTCATTTTGTGGGTGTTTGCTGGCCTCCAAGCACACAGTCCCATGTTGTATGTCTTCTGTTTCATTGTTAATACTTCTGCCTATCCTGAAAACTTTTTTGGCATCAGAGGGTTATTTAGACTGAACTATTGGTATTCCATGTAAGAAGGGGTCATTTCCTGCAGGAGCGGAGCTCCGGCAGTAAAGAGCCCAGGGGACGGGCACATGCAACAAGCCCCACCCCCTGCCCCCAGCAGCCCTCAGTCAGAGCAAGAAGCAGCCAGGTAAGTTGCAGAGCCCTCCCCATAGCTAGCAATCCCAAACAGTCCAGTGGCACCTTTAAAACCAAGTTTTATTCAGGTACAAGCTCTCCCTCCTCTGCGAGGACAGATTGCACAGTCACCCCCCCCCCCAATAGCTAGCAATCCAAAACAGTCCAGTGGAGCCTGAGCAGTGGGTGTTGCCTTCTGACACACTTCCGGTGATGTCAGGGGGTGTGGCATATGCAAATGAGTTATGCTAATGAGTTATGCTAATGAGTTCCTGCACCTCTTTTTCTACGAAATGACCCCTGCATGTAAGTATAGAAGTACATTTCTCTAATATCATTAGCTGGGTCTTTTTTAAAAAAAATGTATTTGAACATATGAAGCTGCCTTATACTGAATCAGACCCTCAGTCCATCACAGTCAGTATTGACTACTCAGACTGGCAGCAGCTCTCCAAGGTCTCAGGCTTAGAGGTCTTTCACATCACCTTCTACCTGATCCTTTTAACTGGAGATGTCGGGTATTGAACCTGGGACCTCTGCATGCCAAGCAGATGTTCTGCCACTGAGCTAAAGCCCCTTCTTCCTAAGTAACAGAAGATACTAGGCCCGGGGTGGCCAAACTCGCTGAACACACAGAGAATAAACATCAGATGTCTGCGAGCCGGAAGACATGAACGTTTTTATTGGAAAATATGCAAATTTGCTTTTTATTAACATTAAATAAGACTGTCAGAAATAAAAACAAAAGGAGTAAAACAGAAACTGGTAATGAGATTTAAAGAGGCAAATGCTTTCTCCAAACCATCGGGGGGGGCCTTTGAGAACTCATCTAAAGCTAAAGTTGCTTGCTTTCTCTGCTCCCACCCCCACCTCAAGCCTACCCAGGGAGGGCAACACTGGTTGGGGAAGGGAAGACCAATCGGGGAGGTACGTCTCCCCAGCCGCCCTGCCGGGAGCCACACAATATGTGTGAAAGAGCCGCACATGGCTCCCGAGCCGCAGTTTGGCCACCCCTGTACTCGCCAATTGAAGATTTAAAGATGTTGGGTTTTTACATTTTTTCTCTATGTGGAGGCATTTGATTTTTGTTTTCTATACTCAAGCGTTCCAGTTGCTGCTGCCTTCACTTACAATGCCATTCTGTACAGAGTTATACTCTTCAAAGTCCATTGAAATCACTGGGCTTGGGAAGGTCTTCTTCGGATGGCACTGTTAGTTTCCCTTCTTCTCCGTGTTGAAATGAGTTGGAACTAGGAGTATGCATTTGGATGTCCCTGAACAGAAAATATTCCCGAAATCAGCCGTTTCAGGTTAGCTTGAGGATATCCAAAAGGCCTTTAACACTCACAAATTTGTGGTCGTGATGAAATCTACTGGAATTTCTGGAGTGTTTTGGGGGAGGGCAGGAGGGGTAAGGAGAGAGAAGAAGCTGGCTCTGGCAAATAGCTACTTGGTGGTGCCTGTAAATTTTAAAGGGAGATCATTACCTGTGAGAACTCCAGAGGCCAGGTCTACTCTCATAAAAAAACAATAGCTCTTTAAAATGTAAAGGGACAAGATAACACCAGATAGCTGTTCAGGAACTAGAATGTATGGATAGTGAAACAAACCTGAATTGGTAAAGGTACCCCCCCTCCCAAAATTGGGACAATGGAGCAATCTGGATCTGAAACTGAAATGGATAAAATAGTGTTTTTTTTAAAGTGCTTACCCCCTGCTTGACATTTTAAAAGTGCTGAAGTTTCCCACACCTTTTCTGCCTGCTTCCTGGCTGCACTGTATTTAAAGAAATAAAAGCATCAAATGCTTCAGGGCAGTGCAATGATTGTTCCAATTTATAAAAAGGGGGGACCCGACCGACTTGATGAATTGCCGTCCAGTAAGCTTGCTATCCACTATAGGAAAGCTTTATGCTGCAATGCTTCATGGAAAGCCGGAATCTTGGGTTGAAGGAAACAATATTTTGGGAAAGGAACAAGCTGGTTTTAGAAAAGGAGCAAGTACCATCGACCATTGCCCATACCCTCCAGTTCTTGGTTGATAAAATACACGAGTTCTGGAGAAGGCATGTTGACAACTGCCTTCATGGACCTAAAATCAGCATTTGATACAATCTCTAGACCCCGGCTATGGGAAAAGCTGAAGAAATATGGCATTGAACCACGTCTCCTTTACTTAATTCAACAGCTCTATAACCATCCCTCCACCCGGGTTAGATGCAAGGAGTTAGGTCAGCTATCGGAGCCTTTCATCCTAGACTAAGGAGTCTAGCAGTGATGTTTACTTGTACCCATGTTGTTCAGTTTATATATAAATGACCTCAGACCCTGTAGCCTGAAGGAAGCATGTCATCTCCCACATTTATCCAAGCATGAAGTTCCAATCCTTCTTTATGCCAATGATGCAGTGATAATGTCTAGATCAATAGTGGGCCTCCGGAAGCTGATAATTTTTTTTGAGCTTTACTGTTATCATGAGGGCTTGTCCATCAATATGGTGAAATCCAAGGTCATAGTATTCACCAAAAGGAAAAAGGGGGAAATCTTTAAACGGGACATAGCAGGCCAACCTATGGAACACTGAAATCAGCCGTTTCAGATTAGCTTGAGGCCTTTAACACTCACAAATTTGTGGTCGTGATGAAATCTACTGGAATTTCTGGAGTGTTTTGGGGGAGGGCGGGAGGGGTAAGGAGAGAGAAGAAGCTGGCTCTGGCAAATAGCTACTTGGTGGTGCCTGTACATTTTAAAGGGAGATCATTTCCTGTGAGAACTCCAGAGGCCAGGTCTATTCTCATAAAAAAATAATAGCTCTTTAAAATGTAAGGGGACAAGATAACACCAGATAGCTGTTCAGGAACTAGAATGTATGGATAGTGAAACAAACCCAATCCTGCCCAAAAATAGCCCTGCCTTTCAGTATGACTTTTTCTGATGCTTATTGGCTACTCCTAGATGTGTCTCGGGTATAGCACTGAGAGCAGAACTAGGCGAATTATTGATGGAAGTTAGGGCTTGGATGAAAGCAGTTTTCTTTAAAGTAAAGGTTTTAAAAACTGAGGTAGGATCTACTCTAATTGGGCTTATCCAGGCAGATACACATTACAGCCAATGGGATCAGCTATTGGAAAAGAAAATGAAATGGCTAGGAGTAACAAATGATATGATTAAAAATACAGAAACTAAAGACAAGTAGAAGACAAATTTAAAAATCTGTAAGGAAATTGGATGTTACAATTACGTCTATTAGGGCGCGCCAGGTATGTTCCTGAGTCGGCTATTGCTTGGAGGGTGAGGTATAAGTGTGTGTGTGCGTGCGGGGTATAAGTGTGATAAAAATAAATAAATGTTCAACTCTTCATTTGGGAATTGCCCTCCCAATGCAACTGCCAAAATATTTCTATCGACAGTCCCAAAACTAAGAAGAGCTTTTACTTTGGCAAGACTGAACGTTCTTCCCTCTGCAGTTTTGGAGAGCAGATATAATAAAGTATCATACTCCAATAGAACATGCAGATGCTCATATCATACAATTGAAACCATTGAACATATGATTAAGGAGTGCCCTCTATTCGATGAGTTGAGGGCTAATTTAGTCACCCCTTAAAGATATGGAACTGCTAAACATGTGAGCCCAGGTGTCATGGCTACTATCTGATACCAATGATCGTGTCACCCTCTCAGTGGCAATATTCATAGGTGCAATAATTTAAGAGATTATTATAAGAGAAATAATACTGAGTAAGGCCTTTTAAAATATTTTATTTGGTTCTAATTTCTCCTTAAGGTGATAGCCGTATGAGCAGTACTAGATAGATAGAAATGCTTCAGGGACCAGAGGAAGGAAGAGAAAAACCAGTTTGGAGTGTCTCTCTTGCCTTAGGATATGCATTTATAGTTAATGACAACAGGGAAAACTCCAGCATTTGGAAGAAGCTGCTGTTTGAAGAACATATTACACTTCTAATATTAATGTTGACATTGCTGGTTAAGAAATTTGATCAAACCTGTTCAAGTTCTGTCTTTGAGATCACGTAACTCTCTGAATAGAAAGGACCTTGGCAAGGGATTAAAACCTTGATAGAACACTGCTGATAGGACAGGTCCCTGAATTGAAAATGTTTGCTAACCAAGCCTAGCTATTGAAATAATGGAAGTACTTTAATAAATGCATGTATTTGCTTGTTAATCTGAGAATAAGAGAGACAAAATAGGTAAGATGATAGGTCTTAATGAAGAGCTGAAAGGTGGGCCTCATTCTAGCTGAATTTTGGGCAATAGACATTCTGACTATAATTGTAATCTCACTCACTGGATGGAACTCAATGAGGTTACTTCTGAATAAATATGCATAGGATCACTCACCTATTGTGAAAATGGATTCCCTTAACTTTGTAGCAGATGGTAAGATTGCCTGTGCTTTCATTAGGGGCAGAAACTAGGTATGAACTAACTAATGCCCCCTGCGATTTAGTCTTCTCTTTGCTATGGCACAGATTCTGAATTTGTGCCTGAAATTGTTAGTCTTTCACCCCATGAAAGCAGCTTCAGTATGGCTTTCTAAAACATATATGACATGTTTTCAAAAGAAGTTGCAATGTGGAAAAATGGGGTTGGTGTGAAGAAGAAGAGAACAGATGTGTAGATTTTCACACTATTCTGGATGGGCTTCAGATTTAATAATGTTAAAAATATCAATTTGCTTTGAAGCTTTTCATTGTTTCTGATCTGTTCTCACAATTCTCTTTCCAGGTGTCGCACCGCCATCCTTTGTAGCAATTAAAGCTGGCACAACACTTTACCAGCTAACAACAGCAGGTGAAGCTGTTTCTTGGAACTCTGTTTTTGTTCTCATGATTCTAGCTATTCTCTCTATTCTGCCAGCTGTCTTCCAGAAGAAACTTAAAGAAAAATTCGAATGAGGGCCAGCCTGGATCTTCCTTCCCATATTTCATCTCAGGATCAGCACTATTTGTATGATCACTTTTATATTGGATCTTTAGCAATTAAAAAAAGGAGATGACTGTAAGAGAAACATATTTCTGAACTTCTTGCTCAGTTTTATTTATGGGGCACAACGGTGAAGTAATAGCGGTTGGAATAAAAGTGAGTAAAGGTATTTAAAAAAAACATGAGAAGCATTGTTTTAACTAATCTGTAATATTTAATCTGAATGATATGTGTTTGTGTGTATACACACAGACACACACACGCACACACATACATGCCTTATGTGATGATTGTGTGTGACTTGATGACTTAATGTGAATAATTCATTCCTGTTCCCCCTTTTCTGTTCATTTCTTCATTATTTATAAGTCCTGAATAATAATAATACTTCCAATTTATTGATCGCTCTTTCCCACACACCTGCGTGCTCAGAGCGATTTACAGTTACTCTTGACAATTGGACTAACAATATTCGTGGGGGATAGGGAAGACAAACATACAGCGTTTTTAATTACACACACACTGCAGCTAGCCAGGGTTTCACCTGTGGGCTGGATCAGTCATGTTCCGTGTATTCTTGTCGGCTGGCTGATGACGTCAGGGCTTCTTGATGTCATGCTGCCGCACTGCCACCAGCTGACCGACTCACTCCACTGCAGGGAAGCCGAAACAGCTCTTTCCTCTTTCGATCTTGCCGCGCCTTCAGAAGTCGCACTCGGCAGCTACACCTTCCCAGAGGGAGTGGTGTGCCCACCCCCTTATGGGTGGTCCCCAATTTATCTACTTGCCGAAGCTTTCGAATTGCTGGGTAGACGATGAGCTAGGACAAGGCTTGGTTGCTCACACCAGCACAGGGCTAGAACTGCCAAAGCTTGGCAGTTCAGATGTTATAGTTAAGCAGGGGGGAAATCCCCTGCGCCACCGCTCCCTGAAGAATATTGGACTGCCCAATGGAATAATGGATTTCCTGAGTAATGAAGAGCTGGGACAGATGATTTGCCCAGTGATGCAGATGTTCCTGTGTTTCTTTTTGCCTGTTGGTTTTACCTTAACCACAAGAATGCTGAAAGGTATCGAGTGATGTTACTTTTACAGACGTGGGGGATGGACCTGATAGATTAAAATGCTAGAATTAGAAAGTTTGCCAGTATTTCAGATGTATGACAGCTGTTTCCAAAATTGCAAAAATTGTATTAAACCAAATATTCAGCTGTCAAATATAACAACGGTCATCAGCATATGGTTGTAAGTGCACACTGAATTAGAGAAAGGGGTGGCTACTTCAGCAACAGCAAAGGGTAACTCCTGCAAATATTTCATTAAGGCCGCGGGTCACGCACACTAAATAATCCACTTTCAAACTGGATTTTTACTGTGTGAACTGGCAAAATCCAGTTGGAAATTTGCATTGAAAGTGGATTCTATAGTGTGTGTGACTACAGCCTAAATGGATTCATAAGTATGCATCATTTTTTTAGATTTCAAGTTATGTAACATGACCATGCAGAACTTGAAAGCATCGCCTCTGATCTGGAGAGCCATGGGTTGTTGTGCATACTATGCCCTGACAAACACATAAGCCTGCAGATGAAATTAATGAGAAGCACCTAAATATCTGGCAAGTCAACTTTTACACTCCCGAGGAAGCATGAGTAATCCTGTATAAATTGTATACTTTGTACATAGATCTTGCAACCCGGAAAAAATGTCCCTCTTCTGATGGAAGGCTAGCTGGTCAACTGTAAAGCTAAAATTCATTTTCAAAATGAAACTGTTTAATTATGGTTTCTTTTCAGATATTACTGGAAGGTACCTTGTTGAATCATTATTGCTGTGGCCAAGGGGTATTTTGTTTTCTGTTGTAGGGTTCCATGGTACTGTTCCAGTTTATAATGGCTCTTAGGCATATGCCTATCACCAGTGTTCCCTCTAAGCTGAGTTAGTGTGAGCTAGCTCACAGTTTTTTAGCCTCTGGCTCACACATTTTTGTCTTAGCTCAGCAAGGATGGCTCCAGAGCCAACTAAACTAATTTATGCAGTAGCCAAATCACTCGCTCACAAATTTAATGCCAGTAGCTCACAAAGTGGAATTTTTACTCACAAGACTCCACAGCTTAGAGGGAGCATTGCCTATCACCAGGAATAACTACTTTGTATGGCCATGCCCATTTCTATAAGAGGTTATGCAGCAAACCTGTCACGACCTTTTTAACGGTTTGATAAGCAAATCCAGATTACATGCCAGTTCCTATCTCTCTCTGAGTCAAGGCCAACTTGCAAACCATAGTACACAAGTAGTTGCTCACATATAATATTGGCTAGACTGAAGAAGTGTAGTCAGAGGTTACTAGATTGTACCAGTTGGCCCCCTCTTGGCTCCTGTAGAGAGCCAGTTTGGTGTCGTGGTTAAGTGTGTGGACTCTAATCTGGGAGAACCGGGTTTGATTCCCCACTCCTCCACTTGCACCTGCTGATGTGACCTTGGGTCAGTCGCAAGCTCTGGCACAGCTGTTCCTGAAAGAGCAGTTTGTGTCAGAGTTCTCTCAGCCCCGCCTACCTCACAGGGTGTCTGTTGTGGGGAGGGGAAGGAGTTTGTAAGCCGCTCTGAGACTCCAAGTGAAGGGCGGGGTATAAATCCAATCTCCTCTTCTTCTTCCTTTTAAATGTATGGGCTCTCTGAATGGCATTCCCCTCCTACTTAGTTTATAAGCCATCCAAAATGTGGAGCATTCCTTGACTTTGACTAAAGGTCCTATGTGGCTCTTTAAGCTTTAATTCCAGGCTATGGAATTCTTCAGATTTCTGCTTTGCCAATTCAAAAGCAGTTGAGGATAAACAGTACTGTAATTAATTCAAACTAAGATGCTTGGCGAATAATCTGAGACATAAAATGCAAGATTGACAGCTGTGGAATATAGAAATGGTTGAGCACTCTTGTGTGCTTAAGAAACCATTAGGTACCATACACACACAGCGAGTTAAAAGTCTTGTGAAAAATAGAACGGAACTAAGGTTGGAAATAGAGGTGACTTCAGAGCTCTGTGATTGGCTGTACTTTCTCTTTAAATATGTACAAATAGCAACCAGGCATACTCCAAATTTAGGATGAGATGTTGATGGCGCAAGGAGCATAACTCATCCCACACCTGCTGTTTGGTCTCCATGTAGTCTACTCAAATACATATAGAGAAAGGAATATGTAGGGGAAGGTTTACCATCTGTTTGCCCACTTACAGTCTGAATCCATACTGGGTCTCCATGTTTCAGATTGGTTGACATTTAGGGAGATGGGAGAATCTCCATTGCCAATCTCCAGTGTCTTGGCCTCCAGTTTCTGGCCCTTAGTTGTGACCAAGTTTTGCTTTATTGTGCCCATTGTCTGCTTTTAAATCCAGTTCTATAAATGGAAAATGCTATACAGGATTACTGTTGCTGGGAATTCTGTGGTTGAAGTTGCACAGCACTCAGTGCGTAACTGAATTAGATGATAAATTATTAGCAAATTCTGCAGCAGTCAGGCTTTTGAGGAAATGACTTGTCTGCTGAAAAAACTGCTTCAACGGAGCATTTGAAATATTACTATATAGAAGTGTTTGGAAGTACTACTGTTACCTTCTGCAGCTCTGTTTTCCTGCAAGAGTATGGGTTGAGTCATTTTACCACAGTGTTATGTATAAATGCACAGGAAGTATGTGCATATACTTTTTGCCCTCTGTCTTCTATTTATGTAGCTTTAATTGCCAGAACTATTTTTTACATTTGTGTAATGAATTTGTGTTGTGGCTAAATGCTTGGTTCTCTAACTGGCCAGAGTATTTTACCACTTAAACAGATTGGTTCAAAAATGGGCCAATACTGTCGTAACAACTCATGTGTTTACATGATGCTGAACCTTGTTGGCCTAAACAGTAGAACTGTCTGTGGCAGTGTTCTCATCCACTTCATATTCCAGGAGTGCTCTTCTGTGCAGAGTTACTGCAGTGTAAGTCAACTGAAACCAGTTGGCTTAGAGTAGTGTAACTCTGCATAGGTCTGAGTTGGAGATTGGCTATCTATCAATGGTGTCATGTCCTTGCTGATTTGAGCCAATTTAGGGTCAACTTTTCCTTCTGTCTTGTGTTCATCCAGAGTACCATTTCACTAGACAGAGGTTAATTAGGTGTTTTGAAATCTTTTGTACCACAGAACAGACTTAGACTTTGTAGCTGTGTGGTTTTATTACTTTTCAATAGTGTGAAGACGAAATAGTTTGTGATGCAGTTGGCTTAATGAACTAAAGCAGCTTTTTATTTTGTGTGTAAGTCCTTAGTCTTCTTTTGTAGAACCTTAACTGGCTCACAGCCCACCATTTTTCATCTTGAGGAAGCATCTAGAGTAATTGCAGGACCAGTACGTCAGCATGCAGAAATTTGTTGGTTATATTTTAGTCTTTCCAAGTTCTGGAAAGCACTGGCAATAAATAAAGAAATTATATAAGCATAAAATATTAGGTAGCTCTGTGGCAAAGCATTAATTTAAGAGTATTGAATTTCTACTGTTCAGACAGGAAAAGAGGTCTTGTCTTCAAAACCGCAAAGATTTTAAATGGGTAACTAAGACTTGTTTGTTTTCAAGGATTTTGAACTATTAACATTCTCTGGAGTTTATAATTCAAAATATGATTACATGTCTCATATATTTTACAATAAAACAACATTCATCCAATAAATGAAGTGTTAGTAGCATTTCAACTGAACAGTTTCTGTGGGGGGATGGGGAAGACTTCAAGATGTTCTGAAATCGACACTTGGGACTAACAACTCTTTAAAAAAAAAATAGTGTAGTATCTCCCATTCTAAGATCAGGTTCTTCTTCCACAAACATCTATGGTTGAAGCTCAAGTTCTGGCTTTTAAGGATTCCCTTCCCTTAGGCTCTCACTTTTCTTAGTGTACTGGCATTGTACATGGCACTTTACTGAGGAACATAAACAAAAAGTTCCTTCCTTGTGGAATTTTTAATCCGAGTTAGCCAGTGGAAAAAAACAGGGAGGAGGGAAGGAAGGAACAAAGGAACCAGAGTGGAATGTCAGCAAATCACAAAGACTAGGGAATACTTATCCATCATACAGGAAAGAGAAATAAAGTGGTTTTATTGTGTGTGGGGGAGTTATTTTACTTCAATTAATTACAGTAGAACCTGTGTTGTATAGCGGTTAGACCTTTATGAGTCTGAAGACACCTTTTGAATTCTGTTACAGAGAGCCAGTTTGGTGTAGTGGTTAAGTGCGCGGACTCTAATCTGGGAGAGCTGGGTTTGATTCCCCACTCCTCCACTTGCACCTGGCTGGATGACCTTGGGCAAGCCATAGTTCTGGCACAGCTGTCCTTGAAAAAGAGCAGTTTCTGCAAGAGCTCTCTCAGCCCCACCTA